GGGGCCGCCGCAGCAGCAGCAGCAGCAGCAGCAAGCGCTGCTGCCGGCCTCTGCACTCCACCAGCCGTCGTACTTTCCCCCCCGTCCAGGTAAAGATAAAGTAGCACCTCTGTGCTGTTGCTGCTGCTGCTGTGCTGCTGCTGCTGCGTTTCTCCGCAGCATTTGCTGCATTTACCACTTGGCGAAGTCTGCGATACTGACGCGTACCTGTTGTGTTTTTGCTGCTGCTGCTGCTGCTGCTGTTGCTGCTGCTGTTGCTGAATTGAAGGCCGGCGTAAGGCGCTGCTGATCGGCATAAATTACTTTGGAACTGCAGCAGAGCTGCGTGGCTGCGTAAATGATGCTAAGCGCATGCAGCAGCTGCTGCGGAGTCTGTACGGGTTCGGGGGGGGCCCCACAGAGATGGTGCTGCTTAGCGATGAAGCAACCGATCCTATCTATAAACCCACCCGACAAAACATTATTGCCGTCAGACGCTGCTGCTGCTGCTGTTGCTGCTGCTGTTGCTGCTGTTGCTGCTGGTGCTGCTTCTGCCGCTGGAGATGGCGCTGCTGCTACTGCTGTTGCTGCTGTTGCTGCTGCTACTGCTGTTGCTGCTGCTAATGCTGCAGCTGCAGCTGCATCCCCTAACGATGCTGGTGGTGTTTCTTCATCTGCATTTCTTTCCGCTTCAGTTACAGCATCTCTTCCTGCTGCTGCTTCTTCTTCTGCTGCTGCTGCTGCTGCTGCTGTTTGCAGGCAATGCAATGGCTGACGTGCGGCAGTGCAGCAGGCGACTGTCTCTTTTTTCACTTCTCTGGGCACGGCACGCAGCAAGTTGATTTGACGGGGTTGGAAGAAGACGGCTTAAATGAATGCCTCTTACCCCTCGACTTCAAACAAAGCGGAGAAATCACAGATGATGAGGTAAACATAGCGCATATATATATAATATAATTGTTTATATATATATAATATGTTTATATATATATATATAATATCATTATGTATATAATATAATATAATTGTTTATATATGCATTTATATATATATATATATATATATGTATGTATATATCGGCATACATATATGTAGAACATATGATGAGGTAATGATATCTCTGCTTGTTTTGTTTGCTTTGCCTTTTCTCATGTATAATATATATATTATATATATAATATATATATTATTATATATATTTGTACGTACGCATTTATATGTGAATGCACATCTATTTATTGTATGTGCTGCTATTATATTTATGTTTAGCGTTTGCGTTTATGTTCACATACATATACATATACATATACACATACATACATTCATCTATATTATAAATATAAATAAATATAAATAAATAAAAATAAATATACATAATATATATAAAATATATATATGTATATATGTATATATATATATATTGTTTGGGTGTCTGTCTGTGTGCAGCTGCATGCATTGCTGGTGGAGAGTCTGCCTTCGAGCTGTCGGCTGACTGCAGTTGTGGACGCCTGTCACTCTGGCAGTTGTTTGGATTTACCTTTTAGTTGGTGTAACCAGCAGTGCTGCTGGATTGAAGAAACTAATCCTTTCTTTGTCTTAGCCGATGTGCAGCTCTTCAGCAGGTCTTTATATTTTTTCTCTTCACTCGCACACCCGCTTCTTTTAATTTATGCTGCTGCTCTTTATGCTGCTGCTCTTTATGCTGCTGCTCTTCATGCTGCTGATGCTGATGCTGCTGCTCTTTATGCTGCTGCTGCTGATGCTGCTGCTCTTGATGCTGCTGCTCTTGATGCTGGTGATGCTGATGCTGATTATGATGCTGATCATGATGATGCTGCTGCTGGTGATGCTGACGAATAATTTGTTTGTGTTTGAACATTTTTCACCTTCTTCCCTCATTATATATTAATATTTAAACTATTTGTTTATTTATACACAAGTCTATTTTTATTAATTTAAATTAATATACATTTATTATATTTATTTATTTATTTATTAGTATTATTGTATTATTCTTTTTCTTCTTCTCTGCAGCTGTACTGACAGTCAAACTGCAGCAGATTTAAGAGGCGATGGTCTGCATACAGCAGCAGGAGGGGCGATGACTACAGCATTTGTTTCGGTCTTAACCCAAATGCCGTTTTCGCACTCTTATCCATCCCTCATGGATGTAAGAAGGCTTAGGGTATAGGGTTTAGGGTTTAGGGTTTAGGGTTTAGGGGTTTCCGGCTTTGCTCTAATCGCGGTCATTCTTCAACAGAAGCCAGACAGAGATAATGACAGAAACTACCATACAGCAGCAACAGCAGCAACAGCAGCAGCTGTTGCTGCTGCTGCTGTTTCTGTTACTGCTGTTGTCGGGGTTTCATTGGGCTGCGCACATTCTACAGCCTTCTGATGTGGCTACTGCTGCTGTTGCTGCTCCTGCTGTTGTTGCTGCTGCTACTGCTGCTGCTACTGCTGCTGCTGTTGCAGGCCTTGACAGCGAGCATGAAGCAGAGGGGTCTCTCGCAGCGGCCTCAGCTGTCTTCGTCACAGCGATTTGAATTTAATAGACCCTTCAGGCGAGACAACGGTCTTGCTGCTGCTGCTGCTGTTGCTGTTGCTGCTGCTGCTGTTGTTGTTGCTGTTGTTCTTGTTGCTGCTGCTGATGCGACCGTTGATGTCGCAGGCGTTGCTGCTGCTGCTGCTGCTGCTGTGGATGCCCTGTCGCCATCTGTTGCTGCTGTTGCTGCTGCTGCTGCTGTTGGAATTGCTGCAGCAGCTACTTTTGCTGTTGCTGGTGTTGTTGCTGCTGGTGTTGCTGCTGCTGTGCACGGTTTGTTGCTGCCATTTGCTGCTATCTGCTGCTATTGCTGCTGCTGCTGCTGCTGCTGCTGCTCAGTCTCACGACCCCAATTCCTAACAGCAACCAGTACTTGGGGAGACGCGTGCGGAAGCTGCGGAAGCCCGCAGCAAATAGACAGCCTGGTGGTACTTCTACTGCTGCTGCTGCTGCTGGCGGGATGCTAGCAGCAACGGGGGGCATAGCAGCAGGTTTGCTCCTAGCTGATTTGCTGAACAACAAATGACCAGCAGCAGCAGTAGCAGCAGCAGAAGCAGCAGCAGTAGTTGTAGTCGCATGCCAGCTGCAGCTCCAGCAGCAGCAGCAGCAGCAGCAGTAATAGCAGTAGCAGCATCAGTAGCTGCAACAGCAGCAGCAGCTGCAACAACAGGTCCCCAGTATTTGTGCCTGCTGCTGCAGCAGCAGCAGCAGCAGCAACAGGTTCCTAGTATTTCTGCCTTGGGTCTGCAGCACGCAGCCACCGGCAGCCTTCAGATCATTTTGTTTTCTAGCATGCACTCTTCTTGCTGCTGCTGTTGCTGCTGCTGTTTCTGCTGCTGTTGCTGCTGCTGCTGCGGCTTCTGCTCTCCGCAGCCGCCAGCAGCGAAGGGACAGCCACACCGACGGGTAGGCGGAGGAGCAGCGTCAGCTAGCAGAGTATATAGCTAGCTAGCCAGACAGCTAGCTAGCTAGCCAGATAGCTAGCGAGATAACTAGCCAACGAGATCTGGCTAGCCTGCCAGATAGTTAGCCAGCTAGCTGCTGCCCAAATGGGTGGCTAGCTGCTATATCCTACGGCTAGCTGCTACGAAGTCGATGGCTAGCTGTTACTGAGTCGGTGCTGCTGCTGCTGCTGCGTCTGCTGCTGCAGACCCTAAGAGGCCAGTACATCGATGAAACGCAGCAGCAGCAGCGCCAAACGAATGCAGCACTAGCAGCAGCAGAAACAGCAGCAGCAGTAGTAGCAGCAACAAAGCCAGCTACAGCAGCGGAGTGCAGCAGCAAAAGAACTCAGCAATATCTAAAGAAGGCAGTCGTTTGCTGCTAACAAAAAGCAGCAGCAAAAAGCAGCAAGTCGTGAGGCTATACACTGTACACTGTTGTGACGGTGTTGCTGCTGCTGCAGCAGCAGCAACAGCAGCAACTGCTGCTGCTGCTGCTACTGTTGCGTGGGTCGGCATACTCTGCTGCCTCACGCTCGGTCTGCTGCGACGGCTCGCAGCTTCAGCAGAATGCGGCGCTGCACTGCAGCAAAGGGCAAATTGTTCGTGCTGCAGCCGCCAGCAGCAGCAGAGGGTGGTGCTGCTGCTGTTGCTACTGCTGTTGCTGCAGCTGTTGCTGCTGCCGCTCCGCGCAGGCCTTGGTACAGGCCTGCATGAACAATAGAGAGAACGGTCTGCTGCTGCTGCTGTGATGCAGCCGGACCGTTTGGTGCTGTTGCTGTTGCTTCTGTTGCTGCTTCTGTTGCTGCTGCTGCTGCTGAAGGCAGCAGCAGCAGCAGCGACTGGCGATGCTTGAGAAGCGAATGGAAGAAGCCAGGTAGTTGGGGCTGCATGAAACAAACGCATGTGCTGATGCAACAACTTCACGGGCATTGCTGCTGCTGTTGCTGTTGCTGCGGCTACTGCTACTTCTGTCGCTCTGCTGCTGTGGAGCTGTTGTTGTGCTGTTTCAGTTGCTGCTGCTGCTGCTGCTGCTAGGGGTTTATGTTTACCTGTTGGTGAGAGAAGGCCACATCTATATCCAAAAGGAAGGTGAAAAAGAGCAGCAGCATCTGCAGCAGCAGCACAGCAGAAGCAGCACAGCAACGACAGCAACTGCAACACCAACAGCAGCAATATGGTTCCATCAAAGAGGGCAGTGTCGTGCGGCAATAGCAGTAATGGCTGCTGCTGCTGCTGCTGCTGCAACAGCAAGACGAACTGCAGTAGCAGCGGCAGCACAGCAACGACAGCCGTAGCTGCAGCTGCAACAGCAACAAGAACTGCACTAGCAGCAGCAACAACAGTAGCAGCAACAGCAGCGTCAGCAACAACAAGAAAAGCAGTAGCAGCGTCAACAAGGACAGCAGCATCAGCAGCAAGGACAGCAGCATCACCAGCAGCAGCAAGGACAGCAGCATCAGCAACAGCAGCAACAAGAGAGTATCTTACAAGTCTTTCGCTAACTCCCCGCACCCCCAATTGCTGCAGCCACAGCTCGGATATCTCGTCCGTTTGCTGCTGCTGCTGTTGCTGCTGCTGCTGCTGTTGCTGCTGCTGCTTCCTGTTTCTGCGGCCCTTCTTTTTGCGTACGTTCTGCTGCTGTTGCTGCTGGTGCTGCTCCGTGGGCTGCTGTTGCTGCTGCTGCTGCTGCTGCTGAGGTAGCAGCAAGCCAATGATCTTCTTGAGGTCAGCAACACTCCAGACGTCTTCAACTCGCTGCAGTGTGGAGTTGCGTCGCTGCTGCTGCCGCTGCCGCAGCTGCTGGCTTCCTACCAGATGCTGCTGCAGCGCTTGCTGCTCCAGCAGCATGAGCTGCTGCTGCTCGTAGAGGGAGTGGTTGTGCTGCTTGCTGCCTCTCCGTTGCTGCCGCAAGTCTGCAACGCCGTGAATTTGCTGCTGCCGCAGCTCCAGCTGTTGTTGCCGCTGCTGTTGCTGCAACTGCTGCTGCAACTGCTGCTGCTGCTGCTGCTGCTCCTCTCCCTCGTGGGGTGTAGTAGGCCTTAGGAGGCGTTCTTGAGGTTTATCTTTAATCGCCGCTGCAGCATCATTTGCTGCTGCGGAAGAAGCAGCAGAACGTGTACGCTCCGGCTCATGCACCTCCTCAACCCCGAAACCAGCAGCAGCAGCAGCAGCAGCAGCAGCAGCAGCAGAGTTGGAAGTTACAGGTGGGGGAGAGCCTCGATGAAAGACTTTAGGCTTTGCTGCTGGGAAGACACCTCCTTCTGCTGCAGCAGCAAAGAGAGCAGCTGCTGCTCTCTGCCCTCTTGTACGTCTCCAGTCCGACGGGGTGCTGTTAGCAGCAGCAGCAGCAGCTGCTGCTGCTGCTGCTGCTGCAGCTGAGGAGGCAGCAGAGACCCTTTTAATTGCTGCGTCGATGAAACTGCTCCAAGGAGGTGCAGTACGCACACTACTCAGCAGCAGACTCAATGGCTGCGTCTCCTGCTGCTGCGTCTCCTGCTGCTGCTGCTGCTGCTGCTGCTGCAGGGGAAGCCGAAAGGGCTGCTGCTGCTCTGCAGCAACTGCAGCATTCCGCCAAAGCGCCTCTTGCAGCTCGGGATCCTCGCAAGCTTCCTGCTGCGGCTTTTGCTGCTGCTGCTGCTCCTCCCCCTGCTGCTGCTGCTGGCGAGATAAGTGCCGCGGCTGCTCGTTGCTAGCAATCTGCTGTTGCTGCTGCACGACCTCCAAGCGCTGCTGCTGCTGCTGCTGGAGTTTGAACCCCTCCTCATGCAGCTGTGGATGTTGAGTATGCATCGTCTGCTGCTCCTGTTGCTGCAATTGTTGCTGCGGCTGCCCGCCCTTCATAAGTTGCTGCTGCTGCTGCATCTGCTGCTGCGGCATCTGCTGCTGCTGCGCCTCCTGCTGCTGCTGCGGCGGCTGCTGCTGGGTCGTGGGCCCCTCACAAGTTTCCGGTGTCAGTGCAGCAACCAGGGAGTCTCCTGCATCTTCCAGCTTCTCTTGCTGCTGGTGCAGCAGCTCGAGCTGGTTCTGCGTCTGCTGTTGCTGCTGCTGTTGCTCTTGCTGCTGCTGCTGCTGCGCCGGCTGTTGCTGCTGCCACGAACTGCCTGCACCAACTTCAAGCGGGCTTGCACCTCCAACAACATCGTCGCTGCTCTTGCCGCTGCTGCTGCTGTTGCTGCTGCTGTTGCTGCTGAAGTTGTTGCTGCAGCTGTCTCCTTGACTGTTGCCGCTTGTGCTGCTCTTGCTGCAAGAGCCCACGAAGAAAGACTGCTTTAGAGGCTGCTGATGCTGCTGCTGCTGTTTCTCCTGTTCGTGGCTCCCTAACTTCTGCTGCAGCATCAATGCCCTGCGCAGCTGGATTTGCTGCAGCTGCTTCTCCACGCCACAAGGTGCTGCCTGCCAGCTCCGTTGCTGCTGCTGCTGCTGCTCGCGTTGCTGCTGTTGCTGCTGCTGCTGCTGAAGCTGCAGGGCTGCTGCTGCCTCTGGAGGAAGGGCTGCTCCCCAAGAGATTACGAAGCTGTCACTATCTGCATCTGCTGCTGCTGCTGCATTGTGCCGCTCGAATGCAGCAGCAGCAGCAGCTAACGCTGCGCTGCCAGGCGCTGCTCCGCGAAGCATCTGCTGCTGCGCGTGCTGCAGCAACCCAGCTGCTGCCCCCATGAAGCCCTCCTGCTGCTGCTCCTGCTGTTGCTGCTCTTGCTGCTGCTGTTCATCTGCTGCAGACGGTAGCTCCACGTCAAGGTCTACGTTAGACGGCGGGAGTTGGTTGCTGCTGCTGCTACTGCTGCTCCACAACGGCAACAGCTGCAGCAATCCCCTCCCTGCACCGCTCTTCCCTCTCTTCACAGTGCGGCTGCGCTCGCTGCTGCTGCTGCTGCTGGTCCCTGCTGTGTTGCTGCTGCCTGCTGTGTTGCTGCTGCCTGCTGTGTTGCTGCTGATGCTACCCGTTTCGCTGGGCGTTCTGGCAGTAGCAGCAGCAGCAGCAGCAGCAGAAAGAGGCGCAGCAGCAACTGGGGCGAACTCAGGTAGCAGGTCTACCTGCGTATGTATAGCAGCAGCACAAGTGGCAGGTTCTGGTGCAGCTGCAGCAGCAGCAGCAGCAGCGTTTGCTGCTGCTGCTGCGTCAACGGCGTCTAGAGGCAAATCGGCATCGCCCCACCCAGGTAAGGGCAGAATGATAGGGTTGCTGCTGTGGTTGCTGCTCTTGCTGCTGCGAGTGCTGCTGTGCGTGCTGCGCGAAGCTGTTCCTGCTGCCGCTGCCGCTGCTGCTGCTGCTGCTGCTGCTGCTGCTCGTGCTGGTGCTTCAGCTTTTGCTGCTACAGCAGAGAATGAAACACTCTCCCTTATGCTGCAAGCTGCAGCAGGAACAGCAGAAAGACAGAGGCCGCTACGTACCCACTGTGATTGCTGCTGCTGTAGTTGCTGCTGCTGCAGTTGCTGCTGCTGTAGTAACTGCTGCTGCAGCTGCTGCTGCTGCCACTGCTGCTGCCGCAGCAAATAGCACATGCTCTCTTCGCTCCCCACGTCTTCAGCTACACGAGCCGCCGTGGGAGCTATACTTCTCGTGCTGCTATTGCTGCTGCTGCTGCTGCTGTTGCCACTACTGCTGTTGCCCCTGCTGCTGCTGCTGCTGCTGCTGCTGTTCTCGCGGTCCGATGCTTCTTCTTCAGAAGAAAAGAAAAAAGCATGCAGCCCCGACTCAAGAGCCTGCTGCTCTCTGTTTTGGCGTTCCCGCTGTAGCTGCTGCTGCTGCATCTGCTGCAGCAGCTGCTGCTGCAGATGTTCTTCTCGCCTCCTCTCTTCCTCCGCAGCTTGCTGCTGCAGGCGCTGCTGCTCCTCTTGTAACTGCTGCAACAGCTGCTGCTGCTGCTCAGCAAAGCGCTGCAGCGACTCGAGCTGCTGCTGCCGCAGCTCACCCCCCCCTGCTGACCGCGCCTGCACCAGGTGCTGCAGCTGCTGCAGCTGCTGCTGCTGCTGCTGCTGCAGCACATGCAGCTGCTCCTGCTGCTGCTGCAACACGTCAAATGCTGCCTCGGGACCGTGATGCTGCTGCTGCTGCTCCCTGCTTTCTCGCTGTCGAACTTCAGCGGCAGCAGCAGCTGCTGCTGGCCTGTTGCTGCTGCAAGCAGCAGCACAAGGCTCGGATTCTGCCTGTGGCTGCTCTGCAGTAGCAGCAGCAGCAGCAGCTGCTGCTCTTTTGAGAGCACTTGTTGCATCGGCTGCTGCGCCCCCTACTGCCCCTAAATCGCCTGCCGCTGCTGCCGCTGTTGCCCGCGCTGCTGCTGCTGCTGTTGCTGCTGCTGCTGCTGCTGTCGCTGCTGCTGCTGCTTCAACAACCTCGACGTTCTCCGTTGCTGTCGGGGATTCAGTAGCTGCACTTGCTGCTGCAGCCGCTGCTGTTGCCGTTGCTGTTGCTGCCGCTGCTGCTGCTGGTGCTGGTGCTGCTGCTGCTGCTGCTGAGTCCTCGAGTGCATTTTCAATGTCTGACCATGAGTAGTCGCTGCTGTCAGCAGCATCAACAGCAGCAGCATTTGCTGCAGCTCCGTTTCTCGCCGCAGGCACTTCTGCTGCTGCTGCTGCTGCTGCTGCTGCTGCTCTTGCTGCATATGTTGCCTGGTAGGCAGCACCCGCTGCTGCAGCCTTAGCGTTCGCACGTGCAGCAGCAGCAGCAGCAGTAGTGGCTGCAGCAGCAAGTGTCTCGCTGCTAACTGTAGTGTGAGCACCTGCTGCAGCAGCAGCAGCAGCAAGAGCAGCAGCAGAGCCGCCTTCCCAGTCGGCCCCCCCAGCGTATTGCTGCAGCTGCCGCTGTGCTTCTTCTTCTTCAAGCATAAGCTGCAGCTGCTGCTGGCGCTGCTCTTCCTGTATGCGTCGCAGCAGCTCGTGCTGCTGTCGTGCCAGCTCCTGCTGCTGCTGCTGCCGCTGCTGCTCTTGCTGCTGCTGCTGCTGTTGCTGCTGCTGCTGCTGCCGCCGCCTGCCTGAAAACATGCTGCTGAAGAGAGCAGCAGCATGCGTAGCCTCGCTAATGAAGACAGCAGTGCTACGCTGAGACTCCAAGCTGCAGACATCGCTGCCTTGCTGCTGCTGCTGCTGCTGCTGCTGCAAGCCAGCAGCAGCAACGAGCGACTGCTGCAGCAGCTGTAGCAGCTGCAGCAGTGGGGCAGTACGCCGGCCGCATTTGCCATCTTTGCCACTTCTGCTACTGCAGCAGCTGATACTGCTGCTGTTGCTGCTGCTGCAGCTGCTGCTGCTGTCTGTGGCCCATGCAGGCAGAGGCAAGAGCCCCTCGAAGCTGCGTACAGACTCATCGCTGCTGCTGCAGTTGCTGCTGCTGCTGCTGTTGTTGCTGTTGTTCGTTGGAATGCGCACATTAGAGAGCAACCTAACTGCAACCTTGTTGCGGGTGCTGCTGCTGCTGCTGCAGCTGCAGCAATTGTTGCTGCTGCAGACACCAATCCAGATGCCCTCAAGTGTTGCTGCAGCAGGGCAGCTGCTGCCGTCGCCAGGCGTGCTATTTCTGCTGCTGCTGCTGCTGTTGCTGTTGTTGCTGCTGTTGCTGCTGCCGGCGACGGCCGACCCAAAGAAGACGCAGCAGCCGCAAGCAACCACGAGAGGTCCAGGCGAACTGCAGCAGCAGCAAAAGCAGCAGCAGCAGAAGCAGCAGCATGAACATAAAAGCAGTTAAAATCAGCAGCAGCAACAGTGCAGACAGCTGCAGCAGCAGCAAGGATTGCCGCGGCACAGGCAAATGGAAAACAGCAACAGCAGCAGCAACAGCAGCAGCAGTGCTGTTGGTGCAGCAGCAACCAGTGGCAGCAACAGCAGCACTGTTCACCAGCAGCAGCAGTAGCAGCAGCAGCAGAAGCCGCAGAAGCAGCAGCAGCAGTTCGCAGCTAACTATTTGTCTTACATATGCCCCTCGGAAACCTCCCCCAGCACAATCGAAGCAGCAGAGCTGCAGCAGCAGTAGGGGCAGCTGTTGACGCTGTTGCTGCAGCAGCTGTTGCTGCTGCCGCTGCTGCTGCTGCTGCTGGCAGCTTGCTGCTGAAGCCTGAGGTGGATGCCCCAGCCCTTCAGACGGTCTTCACTCCACAAGCCACAACGAAGCAGCAGAGCACCAGCAGCAGCAGCATGCTGCTGCTGCTGCAGCTGCAGCTGCTGCACGTCCATGCCCAAGCCGCAGCGCAGCCCTGCAGCCCACTGGCCGCCAAATGCATGCAGCAGCACATTTTGCTGCTGGTGCTCCTGCTGCTGCTGCGCTTGCTGCGGCTCGGCGTTGCTGTTGCTGCAGCTCTTCTCTGAACGCACGACAGCAGCAGCTGCTGTAGCTGCAGTTGCAACTGTCTGGGCCAATGCAGCAACCCCCGCTGCCACGCAGCTGCTGCAGTAGCTGCTGCTGTTGCTGCCGCTGCTGCTGCTGCTGCCGCTGCTGCTGCTGCGGAGCGAAACTGCTCTGAGCGTATCGTCTGCGTCTCCATCATAGCTGCTGCTGCTTCTGCTGCTGCTGCTGCTTGAACTAATGCTGCTGCTGTCGCTCTCGCCGAGGCTGATATCTGTGCTGTCACTCCAACTCGCATCCGTGCTGCTGTTGCTGCTGCTGCTGCTGCTGCTTCTGCTGCTGCCGATGCTGCGAATACACCGCTCCGAGCAATAGAACCCGTCACCGTCTCTAAGGAGCAAACCTTTCTGCTGCAGCAGCAGCAGCTGCTGCTGCTGCTGCCACTCACCTGAGTTCAACAGCGGTGCAGCACGCGCAGCAGCAGACAACGCAGCAGCAGCAGCAACAGCAGCAGGGCTCGCTGCTGCCGCTCCAGGTGCTGCAGCAAGCTGCAGCACTTCCTCTGACTCCGCACTCGGCAACCCTCCACCAGTAACAGGCTCCCTGCTGCTGCTGCTGCTGCTGCTGCTGTTGCTGTTGCTGTTGCTACTGCAAGGGTGGCGCTCTTGGTGAGGCAGCAGCAGCAAACAGCCTCCAGTGTAGCGGCCCCCCAACTCAAATTTCATCTACATCGCAAGCAGAAGCAGCAGCAGCAGCAGCAAGAAGGAAAATCAGCAGCAGCAGAAACGACAGCAGCAGCAGCAGCAAGACAACAGCAGAAGCTGGCACAGGAAGCAGCATGCAGCAGCAACTCTGGCAGCAGCAAAGAAGGGCAGGGACAGCAGCAGCAAACATATATATATCCGTACATGTGAGCGCAATCGAGACAGCTGCACGTCTTGTGCTCCATTGTTGTTGCTGCTGCTGCTGCTGCAGCTGCTGCTGCTGCAGCTGCTGCTGCTGCTGCTGTTTGAAGCAGACTCCAAGGCTGCAGCAACCGAACGACAGGGCTTGCTTCCCTGTAGGCGCACGTCTGTGCAGCTACCGCTGCAGCTGCTACTCTTGCTGCTGCTTCTGCTGCTGCTTCTGCTGTTGCTTATACTGCTAGTTTTGCTGCTGCTGTTGCTGTGGCTGTTGCATTCATCTCTGCTGCTTGAGGACGCCGGCTTCTTAGGGCAAGGCGTCATCATCGCTGAGTTGCTGCAAGCAGCAGCGGCAGTGGTAGCAGCAGCAGCAGAGGTAGCAGCAGCAGCAGTGGCGGCGGCGGCAGCAGCAGCAGCAGCAGCAGAAGAGGGTATTGCGCTTAGGCTTGAGGCTCCTCTTCCTGCTGACTGCTGCTGCAACTGTTGCCGCTGCACCGACCGCTGCCACTTAGCAGAGCTCGCCCCACAGCATTGCTGCTGCTGCTACTCCTTGATGCAAACTACTGCAACAGCTGCAGCAGCAGCGGCAGCAGCAGTAGTAGCAGCAACCGCAGCAGCAACAGCAACGGATGCCGGCAGCGTCGCCTGCACTGGGAATGAGTTATATGCCAGCAGCCCTAACCTTTGCTGCTGCTCTGGATTCTGCTGCTGTTGAGAGTGTTGCTGCTCTTGCTGCTGCTTCTGCTGCTTTTATTGCTGCTGCTGCAATAGCGACTTGCGCAGCTTCGGCTGGTGCCGGTGCTTCTGCTGCTGCTGCTGTTGTTGCTGCTGTAGGCGCCGCTGCCATGGTCTCTGCTGCTACTGCCGCAGCAACTGCTGCTCCTGCTGCTGCTGTTGTTGCTGCAGCAGCTGCAGAGCGTGTTGTTGTGGTGAGCCGTTCTGCTGCTGCTGCTGTGGGTTGTTGCTGCTGCTGCTGCTGAATAAATCGTAGTTGTGTGTATATTGCATTTGAGTTTGCTTGTTTGCTTTTATTTTATAATATTTAAATATAAATTATAGTTTATTTTCTGCTGCTTCTCTACGAGCCGCTTGCTACTGCAGCAGCTGCAGAGCCCCTCTGGCTCTGAAGAAGCCTCTTATGAAGTTGAATGCGTATGAAGGGGAGTATATTAAGGTAAAATATAATAAATAAAAGATATAATAAATGCTTTTTAAATATTAAATAATTGTTTTTCTTTGTTTTACCTCAATATAAAGATGCTGCTATCTACAGCAACACGTCTGCGGTCGCTAGAGCCTCATATTAAGACTTGCAGCAGAGACAAACGATAAAGAAATTGTTTGCTTTTGTTTTTATATTTTATTGTTTATTTAATTGTTTTATTTGTTTATTATTATTATTTATTTTGTCATTTTCTCTCTCCTTTCTTCGCTCTTATGCTGCTCTGCTTCTAGCAGCTGCAGCAACCGCAATGCCAGACAGCTGCAGCAGCTGCTGCGGTTAGCTGTATGTGTCTTTATTTATATTTTTTCGTTGCTTCTTCTCCTCTTTAGACGCCTATGAATTAAAATTAAACCCATCATAATTAGAATAATGTCTGCTTTCCTCTTGTGGGGGCGAGGGGGCTCAGCATTAACGGCAGCTTAACGGCAGCTTGTATATAATACAATAGCTGCAACACAGTAAGCTACTGCAGCAGCAGCAGATACTGCTGCTGCCGCACAGCCCAGAGAATAATGCTATCGGCAGCTGCAGCAGCTGCAGTGGCAGCAGCAGCAACGCCCCTCACGCACAGATAACTAACTACCTTCCTTTCCTGCACCACTGCAGCAGCACTGCAGCAGCACTGCAGCAGCACTGCAGCAGTGCTGCTACAATACTGCAGCAGTGCGGCCTCAGGCGTAGCTGTTCTGCTGCTGAAAGGTGTAAGGGGAGCGCAGATTTAAGAGTTAGATTATGTTTAATTAAGCTGTAAGCACAGTCCATAGAGAAGACATATCTGCTGCATAGCATAGAAGCAGTTTTAATAAACTATAATCGGCTGTCTATACATTTCTCTTGAAAATAGATGAAGAAGACGCTGCTGCATCTGCTGTTACATCTGCTGCTGCGTCTGCTGCTGCATTTGCTGCTGCATTTGCTGCTGCATTTGCTGCTGCATTTGCTGCTGCTGTTCTTCTCTTTTATTTCTTGTTTTGTTTGTTTATTGTCGTTGTTAAGAATTGATAAAGATATACGCTCGCTTTGCAGCAAACCAATGTACTTTATCTTTAAATTATATTTTATTGAGGTAGTTTATGCATGGGCTACTAACAAATTACTTTCTTTGTTTTTTATCTTTAAAAGAAAATATAATATTATAATATTATTGCCGCTCTGCTGCTGCTTTAAAGAAGTATTAGCTGCATCTCCTAGCTAAGCATGCTTAACAACAGACTAATTGGTTTCTATCAGCAGCAGCGGCAAAACAAAGAAGCTGCTGGTGCTGCTGCTGCTGCTGCTGCTGTTGCATCTGCTGCTTCTTCTGCTGCTGCCGCGGCTGTTTGCTGCAGCTTCTTTCATACAAGAGTGTGTGCAGCTGCTGCAGCATAATCTGTTTGAGTTTTTCAAGTATATTTCTCTTTTCTCAGTTAGTCTGTTCTCTTTTTTATTATATATTATTATATATTATTGTTATTTATTATTATTATATATTATTATTATACAGCCCTTGATATAATACACTCGCTCTATTAATTCATATGTCTATCTCTACAACATACTAGAGCAGCAATATATGTATAGACATATACATATATAAATATTTATTTATTTATTTATTTATTTATTTATTTATTTATTTTTAAATCTATTTTATATGCTCAAGAGAGCTGTTGTTGTTAAGTAGCCTGCGAAGAATGTATAGAATATCACAGGGGTACATTAATATATATATAAATATATATAAATATGCATATATATATATATGCATATATGTATATATATTTATATTATTTAAAGATATATATTTGTTTTATATTGTTTAAATGTATAGATATATATTTATATATGCTGGGGGCTGCGAGAGTGTGGCTGCCTGGTGCGTAGACAGCACAAGTATAGGAAAGTGTGAATAAAAGCATAGATAAAAGAAAAAAGAAAGAGATAAAATAAAATTAAACATTAAATATAAAATAAATAAAAATAAAGATGTATATAGAAAGCTTACGAGACAAGGGCTGCTGCTGTCGGTGTGCAGCAGCCGTTCATGTGCAGCATATGCTCAGGCTGACAGATATCAGTGCTTCATAGGCATTACTTTGTTATTTTATTTTTTCTTTTGTATTTAATTGAATATTAATTTATTTAATGATAATATTAATATCCTTATCCTTATAATTACTAAGCCAACTGCGGCATATCTGAGCAGCAGCTTACATACATATATAATATATCTATCTATATAGATATAGATATAATATATATATATGTATATATATATTCTTCTGCTCTGCTTCTCCCCTCTATTTATTGGTAATATTTAATTAATATAAAGACGATATGGGGCGGCAATTTGAAGGACAAGTTGTCGTGATAACAGGTGAAGAAAACCTGAAAAATTATCTATAGACAAACCCCTCTGTCTTTTTCCTTGTACTTGTTTGTGTTTGTTTAAGCACCACAAACACCTGCTGCATGCATTTATGGAGTTATTTAAACATTTTTGATCGAAATACATGCAAATAATTACGTTTTCTTCTTCTTTCTACTCTACGTATCCCTGGTCCAGCGCTCGATGCATTTGCTGCGTTTCATACATCTTTCAAAGGGCTGTTGATGCAGATTCAACAAAAATGAAGTATAATAAAGCAGAATTATCAAACAAATATATTGCTTGTGCAGTTTCGGTGTATGTACAGGTGCTGGTGGAGGTCTAGGCAGAGCCTATGCCCTTGCTTTCGCTAGAAGAGGGGCTAAAGTTGTTGTTAATGATTTAGGCGTAGCTCTTGCTGGAGATGCAAACAAAGAAGAAGGTAAGAAAATATATATTTTGAATTTTATACCTTATCTTCCTTTACTTTCCTCGAAATATTGTGTCTAGGCCTTGCAGCCTTTATTTGCAGGGGTGGGTAGATAAGCAGTTAATTTCAGGGAAAGCTGCTCTTTTTTTCGTGATTAATATTGTTAAATATAAAAACTACTTATGAAATTATTTATATCCTCTTTTTATAGCACTTTTTGGCGCTTTCTAGGGATATAAATATCCTAAGAAGTATACTTGCGGTGTATGCACAGCTACGAAAGAAGAAATTTTCAAGTTTATTTAAATATTCATATCTTCACTTTTATTTTTTAATGCATTTCTCTAAGACGACAATTTAGTTTTTGTATATTTTCGCTTACCTCTCAGTGTATGAGAAACTTCATACCCGCGTTTTTTCTTCAACATCTTTTTCTACTACATAGTTTTACTATATTAAGAAACTATACTTTAATAATATAGTAAAGGATTAAAGGTCTTTATATGTTTAGAATATATATTATAGTGAAGAGCATTTATTTTTTTAAAACGTTTTTTCTTCATTACCACTGCAAACTGCTGCGTATTCTGCAATTTCTTTATTTGTTTTTATTGCGTGCATCAAACAAAGAATTGCATATTAAGAAGAAAATATTGTTTTTAAATATTTTAAAAAAATTGTTTTTATAGCTTTCAGCATTATTGATGGCAGTCTTTTTTGCGTTTTTCTTCGACTAAGAAAAAATAAAATATTTTTTTAGACAAATAACCAAGCAGATTACACAGGTGTGTGTGTACTTGTTGATATATATTATTATAATAATTGCGAAGTGTTTGTTTCAAACACTATATATAAAAGTGTTTATGTTTGTATTGTTATTCTCTTTAGGCATCCGCGCTGCCGATGCTGTGGTAGAAGAAATTAAAAGTTTCGGAGGAGAGGCAACAGCAAATTATGATGATGTATTAAACGGAGATAAAATTATTGAAGCTGCAATCAAAGCCTTTGGACAAATCGATATTCTGATTAATAATGCAGGCATATTAAGAGACTCTTCTTTTGCTAAGCTGACAGAGCAAGACTGGGATCGGGTTATGCAGGTATGTTTTCATTTTTTATTGTAGTATTATTTATTATTTTTATTCTTATTTAATCTATTTTTATGTACTACAATATAATATATATTATCAATATGTAGCAGTATAACGCCATAGGTAAAAGCTGCATGAAGAGCAGCAGAAATAGCAGAAACAGCAGCATGTTATGTTTGTTTTAATCTGCAAGGCAAAGCAGCAGCAGCAGCAGCAGCAGCAAACTGTCTGCACCTCGCTTCTCTTGTTTGTAGCATTTGTTGGTTTTGCTTAGCATAGAAGTTTTATCTGTTTCTGCTAATATTAATTTAGTTTTATACAACCACAGTAATAGGAATTAGCTGGGGCTTACTTCTGTATAACTGTCAAAAATTATTCTGCTTCAAACAAGCGATGTATATATAAGAGCATGCATCATCAACCTCTTCGCAGCAGCATCCGTGCAGCACGTTTGCAGCACCAGCAGAAGCACCAACAGCAGCACGAGCAGCATCAGCACTAGCAGCACGAGCAGCAGCAGCAGCAGCAGCAGCACCAACAGCAGCAGCACCAACAGCAGCAGCACGAGCAGCAGCAGCACGAACAGGAGCAGCACGAGCATCGCCAGCAGGATGTGCATTAGGGCCGACATCAGCAGTTTGAAAGTGAGTTGTTTGAAGTAGAATATGGTCTTATTGCTGCTTCAGGTGCACCTCAAAGGTGCCTTTCTCTGCACGAAAGCAGCTTGGAGCTTCATGATGAAACGCCGATTCGGCAGAATCATCAACACCACCAGCGCCTCCGGTTTGTATGGAAACTTCGGTCAAGTCAGACGCCTACTCTTATTTAATTTAATTTAAGTTATTTAATTTAGTTTAATTTGTTTAATTTAATTTAATTTAATTTAATTTAATTTAGTTTGTTTTGTCTTGTGGAATTCGCTGGAATGCTCTGTAGGATTTTAATAACGCAGTATAACGTATATTCAATCTCTACTCTTTTCTGCTGTTGCTGCTGTTGCTGCTGCTGATGCTGCCGCTGCTGCTGGTGTTGCTCTGTGCATGCAGTCGAACTACAGTGCAGCGAAGATGGCTTTAGTCGGGTTGACTAAAACTCTTGCAGCAGAAGGAGAGAAGTATAATATTCTTGTTAACTGTATTGCGCCGCTAGCAGGTAAGACTTTATATGTTTATTATATGTTTATTATATGTTTATTATATGCCTATAATATGTTTATAATATGTTTATTATATGTTTATCATGTGTCTGTAATATGCTTATTATATATATGTTTATATGCTTTTTTGTTGAGTATAATAATAATATTATATAATAAAATAACAATATTATTTTATTATATATAATAATATTATTATACTTAACAGGTAGGGAAACAATTACTATAATAAAATATATATATATATATATATATATTATATATAATATTAATATATATTACATTGATAATAATGATGATAGGGCTGCATTCAGCAGACTATCTACGAAAGCTGAGTATAGTAGACGAACTGAAAAATATGATGAATAGAATGAACGTGAAGAATATTATTATAAAAAATATTATTATTTATATTTGTATAAAAATATTATTATTTATATTTATATTTCTGTTTGCATGCGCAACATCCTCAGGCACCCGGATGACTGCAGACGTTTTGCCGCCTCCGCTTCTGAAATCTTTGAAGCCCGACTGCGTCGCCCCAGTTGTTCTTTTTCTTTCTTCTAAAGAATCCAAAGTTACTGGCCAAGTAAGTCATTAACACCAGCTCAAATGCTTCACAGTGCTGCAGCAGCAGCAGCAGCAGCAGCAGCAAAAGCAGCAGCAACAGCAGCAACAGCAGCGGCAACAGCAGCAGCAGCAGCAGCAGCGATAGGAATATCCGCAGTACTAGCAGCAGTAGTAGCAGTATCCGCAGTAGCAGCCTCCGCAGCAGCAGCAGCATCCGCAGCAGCAGCAGCAGCAGCAGGAGCAGCAGGAGCTGCATTATGAAGACAGACTGTGCTGAGCCGTCAATATGCAGCTTGCGTAACTCTGAGCAGGAGAGCATCAGGCGTTGCTTCAAGGACAGCAGTGCAGCAGCAATGCGTTTGGTTTGCTGCTGCAGGTGTTTGAGGTGGGTGCGGGTTGGGTGGCTGCAGTGCGGTGGCAGCGCAGCGCAGGCAAAGTCTTCTCTTCTGCTTTTTCTCTTGAAGATCTGCAGCGAGACTGGCATCACGTCGTTGACTTCAATTCAAATGTTTCTTATCCAACCTCCCTCGCAGACTCTCTCGTTATGGTGAGGTGCTTGCTACTTAGCTAGCTAGCCAGCTAGCCAGCTAGATAGGCAGCTAGTTAGGTAGCTAGCTAGCTATCTAGGTAGCTAGCTAGCTAGCTAGCTAGGTAGCTAGCTACCTAGAAAGCTGGTGCTGATTGTTTGTTGCTGCTGCATTTTTTGCTGCCTTTCTTGCTGCGTTGTATGTTGATGCTGCATATAGTTTGCTGCTGCTGCATATAGTTCGCTGCAATCATAAACACCAAAGTCGTTGATTACTTTGCTGCGGTGTCTGCGCACAGGCGTCGCAGCAAATGTCCACAGGAACAGAGCAGCAGCAGCAACAGCAGCAGCAACAGCCGCAGCAACAGCAGCAGCAGCAGCAGCAGCAGACTGAGCAGCAGAAGGTTGGCGGTGAACTACGTTCTTTAAAGATATTAAAAATTATTGCAGCGTACTTAGACTCAGCAACTGAAGAAAAAAGAAAATTAAAAGAAAAAGTAAATAGCTGCTTTCACTTTGAAATATTTTTAAAACAAGGGCAGCCGCCCGCCCTCAAATGGACAATTGACCTTCGAGCAGATGGAGGTAACCAAACCCTAAACCCTAAACCCTAAACCCTAAACCCTAACGAACAAAGGAAACCCTAAACCCTAAACCCTAATGAACAAAGGAAACCCTAAACCCTAAACCCTAAATTCTAAACCCTAACGAACAAATGAAGCCCGAAACGCTAGACCCCCCTAGACCCGGACGAACAAGTGAAACCCTAAACCCTGAACCCTAAACCCTAATGAACAAATGAAACCCTAAAGTCTCAAACCTAAACCCTAGCGAACAAAGGAGACCCTCAACACCAAACCCTAATGTACAAATGAGACCGTAAACCCTCGACCCTAATGAACAAATCAAACCCCAAACCCTAGACTCTAAACCCTAATGAACAAAGGAAACCCTAAACCCTAAACCACCATTTACCTGTATGAAAGCCTAGTTTAACCTCCTTTGTATGATTAGCACGACACAGAGACGCAAAGATGCCGCAGACTCCTGAAGTATATATATATATATATATATATATATACATATATATATATATACATATATATATATATA